TACCCTCGTGCATACGGTCTCCCTCTCCCTGATCCTTCCCCCTTCTTGTTCTGATTTTTGTTCTCGTTCTCTTTCTCGTTCTTGTTCTTGTTCTTTGAATGGCAACTAGCTTCTATCTGATCTAAAGCGGCCTAACGGTAGGCGGGATATCGTCGTACATAAGGTCGTCGTCGTCGTCGTTGTTGTTGTTGTTGTTGTTGTTGTTGTTGTTGTTGTTGTTGTTGTGTTTGCTGTTGTTGTTGCTGTTGTTGTTGCTACCTTCATTGGATTTACTTCCATGTACATTGTTACACGAAAATGGTGTCGGTAGTTAAGTGGTAAAGCTAACAGGTTCGTCATCGTAAGATTGTGGGTTCCGTAGTTCGAGGCCTAGCTGTACTCGTGTTGTGTTTTTGTGAAAGGCGTTTTACACGTATGTCTCCGTTTGGGCTCTATCTTTTCGAAGGTCCAGCCTCCTAATTAAGTCATAGTGTTGCAAGAAAGAGGCGTGGAACCTATAGGGCCTACATATTCGCAATTTGCACTTTGCACTAGCCTAACTTTACACAGATTTTTGGCGATACCTTCCACGCAGGGGCAAGAAAGTAAAAGGAGTAAGTATTTTAAGTTTTAGTAAAGTTTTACAGCGTTCGCAATTGCATAAGGTAATTAAAGCGCTAAGGGGTGGATGTCAACAGAGAAGCCCAAACGGGGAAACAAGCTTACTCTGCTCACCTCTCTAGCCTCAACTGCAGCACAAAGTCTGCTTCGACTATCAAGGCATCCCAGAAATAACAGTTCACACGAGAGTGACAAAAATACAAAAGAAGTAGAGGAGAAATCACAATAGTAAAGATGAGGAAAGAAAAAAAAAGAAACAGTTCCCCTTATGTTGTTCCGGCTAAGTATGAGCATGACTTTGGTAAATCAGCCCATTTACAATTCTACTGTGCATAAGAACATGTTAATATTCCCCCTTTGGGAATGGTTTAAAGACACTTCAGTCAGTAGGACTGCCCTGGTGGGCATAACAGAAGTAAGGAAAAGCACAACCTAAGTAACCAAACTTTTAATAAAATATATTATATTATAACAACTGCATCCCCAAACCACTCCTGACATACCGCTGACCCCCTGTGACCTCCACAACAGGATAGTAAGAAAACGTTCGGGGTACGCCATTGGCCAATATTTATAGCAACAGCCATCTTGTTTGGTTCATAAAATATTGTTCTTCATTCTGACAAAAGACAAAAGAAGTTCCAGTCCTACAGTCTCACTGTCATATCTGAAAAAAAATGTGGAGTAAAAAAACCCGCTTTGTTTTCTTTCCATTTTAGCAAAGTGTCATGATAATGCTAATTTTATTATGTATGTTATAGAATAGGTCAAACAAGATGGCTGTTACTATTAATTTTGAGACAGCGTGGTAGAATCAGGCTCTCATCAATTTGTTTAGAGTTTATTGGTGCCATCTTAAAGCTTGTTCACCTGTGTTTATTTCGATGAAAAAAATATCCATTTATCTTGAATACAAGTCGAGATATTTGCGAAAGAAGGAGGGGGGGGTCACCTGTTTTCAGAGGTAAAATTAGTGAGAAAATGGCCACCAAAGAATAGTTATTCCCTTAGCTTAAGAGTCCGTGGTAACTGAAAATTTACATTTTTGTGTGCCTTTAATCAACGTTTTTCAGAAAAATCCACACAGAAATGAGTTCTTTAATGGGCATGAAAGGTGTTGAGCCAAAAAACACAAATTCGATAAAAATTCACAAACCTGCGGAAAAATGCAAGTTTCGTCATTTTGATTATTTTGACGCGAGCCTGATTCCACAACGCTGCCTCACAAATATCGGCCAATGGCGTACTCCTAACGTTCTCTAACTATCTGCTTGCTGTGACCCGCAGCCGGTGACCACGTCAAGTTCGGACTGCCCATGGCCTCATCCACCACGCTCCTCCTGTGGTCCCTCTACTCCTTCAAGGACGGCTACGTCAAGGCGGGCCAGCTCAACAACATGTACGACATGATCAAGTGGCCGCTCGACTACTTCCTCAAAGCCTGGGATCCTCACAAGAAGGAGCTTGTTGTACAGGTGAGGAGGAGGGGGAGAAGAAGAAGAAGAAGAAGAAGAAGAAGAAGAAGAAGAAGAAGAAGAAAAAGAAGAAGAAGAGATATGAAGATGTCCTCGACTCCTAAAGGACTGTATAGTTATTCCACTGTAGATTTGTGTGTATATATTCAAGACATATTATTATAAGTATCAAATGATAATTTCCCCGTGCCCTTTTATCATCATCATCATCCAGTGCCAGATCTGCGACAGACATCGGCGATCTTGGTTTTCCATTCATTCCTTTGCTCGGATGCTCTCAAAAAAGCTACGTTTATAGTCCCTTTATAGAAAACCAAATACTCTTCTGTGGACTTACATCGTCATCACTTTGCCGCCTCTTCTCGCCGATCAGCCATGTTTACCGCCCAGTTTTTTTGGATTTTCTCCAAAATGCCTTTGCCTTTGATGGCAAGAGTTTTTACAATGTATGAGTCTTGAGATGGCAAAGTGTTGATAGTCCAATATTCTACGTATATCTAAGTAGCTAATGAAAACCTCCTATTTGTGTTAATAGATCGAATTAAAGAAAACTTGTAAACCGTATTTGAAATTGATTTAGCGTTCCCATGCCTTACATGCTTATCAAACGTTGATCTGTCCACGAAGATTGGTGACGGACTGGCGGACCATCATTTCTGGGGCCGTCCTGAAGACATGACGATGGCGCGACCTTGTACCAAGGTCAACCAGCAAAAGAAAGGAAGTGACATCGCGGCCGAGACTGCCGCCGCCCTTGCTCTGGGCTCTATCACCTTCAAGAGGAAGGGAGGTAAGCCTAGGGCCTTAGAACAGTAGTGTATGTCAAAAGATTCTTTACGAGAACCAGTGAACTCGTCATACGATGAAGTCGACAAAGCTGAAAAACGTGAGACGAGTATTGCACCCAAAAATGTGTCCGTTTTCTCTTTAAAATGTGAAACAGAATGGCTGACTCGTGTAAGTTGTGATTGAATAAACTCTGGTTTTGTATTTTAAAAATATTATTAATTAAAGGATGGCATGACCTGTCAATCCACGGTGAACTCGCCACACGTTTTTCACAAGTTTGAGTATGTAACAAGATCACTGTGACGAGATCACTGTAGGTATGTGACGACTTCGCCATGTGACCAGAAAACAGTTCACTGGAAGCATTCTTTACTAGAAGTGAAAAATCTTTGGTGTGCCTAGAGACAATAGATATTTATAATAATTGTGTAAGCCAAAGGAAACTTAGAACAGTAAGCTTAGAGACAGTATATATCAGAATTCATTATCATTGGGTAAGCCAAAGGGAGACAATGGGCATGCTAGGATGTTAAAAGAACTGCAGTAGACCTCGCTATGAGTTAGTGAGAGTTTTACGGCACTTGCAATACAAATAGGTCATATAAGTGCCGAAGAATAAAGGTGTTACTAAAGAGTAATATAGATAGAAAAGAAGGAGGAAGGCTGAGGATGATAAATATTAAAATTTGATAAGATAGACGGAGCAGACCACACCAAAGCACCCACATTGTAGTAGATATTTCAAGAACGTCTTTCAGCACTGGAAGAAGAGAAAAACAATCTGGTTATATGACAGCAACTGACAACCAGATCCGTTGATCATTTGCAGGATTTACAACTTTTTCAATTTCACAGAGTGACGGGCATAGGCATAATATTATTACGTCTTGGTAGATAAAAAACCCACATTTCTTCTTTGGTTGTATCGTCCTTGTCTTCTTCCTTCTGTCTTTCTTTTCTTTAGCTTCACCTATACCAGCAGACCAGCAGAGTAATTTTACACTTAACCCCCCCCCCACCTTGAAAACCCCCCAAAACAACAACAAAAAACAACAGCAAAACCACCCCCCCCCAGTGCAGGTAACATGGCTTTTACCATAACATCTCATGCACAGCGCTTTCCCGTTGTGAGGAATCCACCAGATTCTCATGTAGCAAAATTCGTCCTTAAAAAAAGCCCCACGGAGTAGCACCGTCTTTGAAACTGAAGGGGTCAGAACAATGCTACCAGTTTGGCAAGACACGCCAGGGGAGACAACACAACAAAGCAGTAGCAAGAAGTGACGTGATGAACTTCAATCTGAGTTATGACCCTTACAAATAACCCATCCTGGGAAGTATGTCATGCTGTTATCCATCTGTTTTTGAATTAATTTTTGTTTGTTTTAAACTTAAGCAACCTCATTTAAGCACAAGGGGCTATCCTGAAAAATACTGTTTAGAGAAATCGAAGGTTAAGTTTTTATACCTTGTTCAGTTTCTTTAAAAGACATGGAGAGTTTTCTCTTTAACCAATCAAATGAGACCAAACTTCTCTTAGAGGTAGGGCAATGCCCACTTTTGGTGTAGATCAAGATTTCTGGAAACCTCTGAAATCTGGAGTAGCATACTTCTCCATAAAAGGGACCATTTAATTTATTTCTCTTCCTCTTTCAATTACTTGCTTGGGTCTAGTTGAGCGTTCGTCCAGTTCTTTGTCTTGTTTTTGTCTTAGTTGAGGTTTTGTTTTGTTTTTGTAAAGTGTTTTACGGCGCTCGCAACTGCATAGGTCATATGGGCGCGCGGGACACTCCTAATA